TGTCATACAACATCAACATGTATTAAGCAGTTTGTTGCTCTAAACACTGTAGTGGATATGTAATCCCACTTCTATCCAAGCTTTAGGTATCTACATACCATGCCCCCCCAGATTACTCCATCTTCTGTAAAGATGGTGTATTTTCAAATTTCTTATTTTGGGTTTAATCTGCTAAAAACTCATATGTCGTCATCCAATATAAATACTAGCTGACTATGCTATCTTTCTATCGGAACTGTAAAAGGTCTAGGAATTTAGCTATTTCTTTACTTTAGGTGTATCGTTATTATGACCGTCTTACTCCCTCAACGATCACATTCATCTTTTATAGATCACTTTTACCTTCAATGCATAGTATGCATTGCATTATCTAAAGTATGGGGAAGTATCTTTCTTAATTGTCTTTCTTAATTAATCTTACATTTCTTCCCCTCGAAATGTGGTATGAACTTTTCTACCACAATTTCGAAACATTCAGAACTTTTGTGAATGAGGAAACTTTGATTACTTACTTCATCCACATGATTACATCATACAAACAAAATTCGTATGGGAGTACATTTTCCTCATTACACTTCAAAACTCAACATAGTCTATTATTCTCAATACTTCTGCAAGTCACACTTGCATATCATTCTTATCTTTTGGTTCACACTCACCTTTCTTTTGTTCTTAAACTCATTGAGTACTTAACGACCATGACACAAACAGAGTGTACGGTCAATTCTATGATAGCATAAGAGCTACCCTAAAATTCTCTCTATGTGCAGAATACACTTAGAGCACATGAGTCATCATATCATTCTCCCGCCATGCGGGATAAGTATTATGCCAAACTCTCCCGTCATGCAGGATTGGTTAACATATGTACTATGCCAACTTTACCCCGATATGCGGGTATTTTCTCAATCTTTTCCCGCCATGCGGGTACTATCACAAACTTTTCCAGCCATGCGAGATAATTCCTTTGAACCGACATAAATGCCAGGATTGACTCGTGTTCAATCATCAAATTCAGAAATAAATCCGAATATTCTTTTAATACACATGTTTAATCCAATGTTAGTCAAATTAAATATGTATATGACTTTTACAACTCTCATAAGTGAAACTGAAAATAAATTCTTGTTCACAGAGAGTACATAAAAGACATTTCTCAATGAAGATTCTCATTGATCTATCTCTTTTCTTGGATCAATATCCTAGAATTCATTTCTTTTGAAGTCATTCTTTAAAGAGAACATAGTCCCTTAAGCAATGGCATTCTTTCACATATAACTTGCCCTTAGGCATTTCATCATCTGAGTCATAAGTACCCAGCTCATTTCTCTTACTGCCTTCAAGAATGAAAGCAAGGAAGTCTTTTGTTTGAATAAATATTCAACAATAATGCTCATTAAACTTTGAAATCTTTATGTTCTATTCTATATCACCGTTGGACAGAAATAGAATAAAACATTATTTTCCTATATTAATTTCACATCACCGTTGGACAGAAATGGAATTAACGTATAGAAATTCAATAATCTTGAAAACATAGAACTGCTCCTCAAAATTAAATTCTCCCGTTGGTTCGAATTTAATTAGAAGGCAATCAACTTTATTGCAGCGGAAACATGAAAATACATTTCTCTAATTTACGAGCATTCTTTGATCTTTATCTATTCTCTGAAAATTGGTCACTTTGATGCAAAATTATCAGAGATTTAAACTTTAAACATAAAACTCATAAAATTATAATATTGTTATCATCAATGTTGGTCAGAAAATAACAATACCATAATTTAACTTTAACTATCAACTGACTATTCCTCCAATTAAAATTTTCCCGTTGGTTCCAATTTTAATCAGAGGATTAACTTTTCATCATTTACTGAATAACTACAACTGCTCTTCAAATTAAATTCTCCCGTTGGTTCGAATTTAATGAGAAGACAATATTCTTTAACTTCTTGAAAATAATACTAATTCAGAAGCATTTTTACTTTACTCATCTGTTCTCTAAACAAATTATCACGTTGGATCAAATTTGAGTAGAGATAAAACATTTAAACTTAACTTTATTCATTCAAAGTAGCTTCTGAAAAAAAAACTGAAAACATCTCCTTCTTGTTCGTTTTGCCTGGAGGCCTGCTTGGCCCGAAGGCATGATTGCTTGTTCGGCCCAGCAGCCACCCGCGCAGCGCGCACCCGCGCCCAGGCCGCAACCTGGGCCTGGGCCGGAAAAGTGGCATCCCGCCTGGGCCTCTTTCGACCCGACCGTGCTCAGCCGTCGATGGAGATCGGACGGCTGTCCGCGCCCAACGGAGGATCAAAAGGCACCCGCGGCCGTCGTTCCCCTAAAACCCTAGTTCATTCCTTCCCTCCCCTTCTCTCTCTCGCGCCGCACGCGACAGCGGTGGCAGCCGTGGTGTCCGTCGGCGCCGATGAGGGGTGGTGCCGATCGAGCTTATCTGGCTCCCCTTCCTTTCTTTCTCATGCGTCTCTCTCTCTCTCAGCAGCGCGACGCATCTCGAGCAACAGCGAGCCGCGCCGGAGGAGAAGACGAAGACGGCGCCACCGCGGGCCCTCTTGCCGGCGAGCGTGCTCCCCATCGGGAGAGCGCGCCGCCGTCAAGCGGCTCTGTGTCGGCGCCCTGTACCCATACCCGCGCGGATGCATCTCGGCGACGAACACCGGCGCGGTCCGGTCTTTCCCGCACGACGGCGGAGATGGCAGCGGTGAGGTAAGCCATCGGCCTTGCTTTTCTTTTCCCCCTTCTGTGTTTCTCCTTTTCTACTCGGATCCAATCCGATTTGGGGACGGGGATTGGAATTAGGGTTAGGGTTTCGGCAAGTTAGGGTTAGGGCCGATTCGATTCACTGTTCTTCTTCCCCATGAGTTTTCACGGATTTAGGGAAAAACCTAGTCTGTATGCTCAGATCCGAAAGGATCTAATCCATCTCTTCCCGCGCGTCAGCAAACCGGCGGCGGGTGCTCCATCCCGCGTGAGGCGGTAATGACGGCGGTGGGGAAAACTTCCCCGGACCGTCCAATATCTTTAGGGTTTCATTTTATCCGAACCGAAGTTTGTTTCTTTTTCTTTTCTTTGCCCCGATCCGGATCCACATACTAGAGAACCGGCTCCGATACCATTGTTATGAACTTTGGATCGTCTAGGTGTGGATCCAGTGGGTTAGTTCTTTCCTGTTGAATCATGAGTTTGCTTCGGGGTAGGAGACAGAGAGAGAGAGAGAGAGAGAGAGAGAGATGTAGGAGCATCTGACCGTCGGAGGAGCTCCCTGCCTTCACTGGTTCGTCGATGAAGATCTGCGCTAGGCAGCGACGTTTGGTGGCGGTGGTGGTGGAGGCAGTGGTGCTTCCCGCCGCTGGCAGTGCCACCCTCTGGATCGGATTAGGGTTAGGACAGTGGGCTGTGGTGGCGGCGAACCTCGTATCGTGTGCCGTTAGCCCCACCTCCTCTTTATAGGCACTGTGCGACGGGGGCCCACTAGCCACGAGATGGCTGGACGTCCCCGATCAGGACGCGGTCAAGGGGTCCGTCTCGACCGTTGGGTCAAGACGGATGAGATCAATTCTAACAAGCACTAGAAACCTTTTAAGAAGAAGAAATATGCATCTTGATTTCTACAATTGTGCTCTGGGCAATCAGGTGATTGAGGAATTAGTCCACCATCTCTTTGTTGATTGCTCCTTTGCGAGAATGTGTTGGGATATTTTAAATGTGGATATTCCACTGACTGGCAGCTTCCCTGAGTTATCTTCCCAGATCAAGGTACAATTGAATACCCAATTCTTTATGGAAGCTATCATCATAACGTGTTGGACCATTTGGTCGGCAAGAAATGAACTCATTTTCTGGGGAACAGACTAAACCTTGCTGATTGTAGAAGAGCTCTTTTCAGCGAGCTAAAGCTTCTCAAGCACAGGATAAAAGCAAGTCAACAGATTCAGTTTTTCTCTTGGATTCAGAGCCTGGAATGATCAGCGTTTTAGCCTCCATTTTCTTCGTTTCTTTCTTTGTTTCCTAGGCTGTCTGCTTGGGTACCTTGTGTGCGTGCTTTGTTTTTTTGGGTTTCCTGTAATCTGTACTTTTGTCTCCTTAATAAATCACTGTAGGGGCCTTGGCCCCTCCAGATTCGTCAAAAAAAATGTTGCCTATATTAATTTGGATTCAGTTAGAAGGAAGATTCAGTTCTATAGAAAATCGTATTGATCTTAAACTATTATATATGTCTTTGGGCAAAGAATATGTGAAGTTTAATTAATAGCTGGTGTAATTAACAAAACAATTCTTCAGGGAGATTACCTTTTATAAGAATTGGTGGGGGGTGATTAGCTTGCCTAGGATTCTTAGGAGAAAATTAATGAACTAACTAAATCCATACTATACTCCCTCTGTCCCAAAATAGAAGTAGTTCTTGCTTCCTAAGAAGTCAGTTTTTTAACTTTAACCAATTATATAGAGAAAATATTAATATTTATAATACATAATTAGCATCATTAAATAAATTGTTGAATATATTTTCATAATAAATTTATTTGGAGATATAAATGTTGCACGTATTTTCTACAATTCTAATCAAAGTTAAGAAAGTTTGTCCTGTACGCATCCCATAACGACTTCCTCTGTGGGACGGGGAGGGAGTATATACGTATATCTAGAACGGGATCGGGCATATGTAATGCTTAAGTTTGAGCTGATCTCACACGACTCACAAATGCAAAAGCATCCCAAAAAATCTTAAATGGATGACGACTTTGCAAAGGAATTGGAGAGAGGGTGATCGATCTCATGGAATCAACGTGCTTGACAGATTTGTAACTAAAGAGCAGTGCAATTATGCATGGAACGGACGTGAATGATCGGGAGCGAGCAAGTGTAATAATGTGCTAGAGACTGCGCCATGCATCTAGCTAGCTAGTGCGTCCTCGACGTCCGTGCACAACCCAACATGCCTGCGTATGAGATGATGATGAGAGCGAGAGGAGGTATATACCTTGGGTGCTGTGTGTTCTTGACGACCTTCTGGCCGTACTTGCGCCACTTATAGCCGTCGTCGAGCACGTCGACGTCGCTCATCGTCTTGAAGCAGAACCGCGGCTCGCGCACCTTCCGCCGCGCCTTCCCTCCGCCGCCGCCGCCGCCCGCCTTCTTCATCCTCACGGCGCCCACCCCCAGCGCCGCCGACCCCTCGCTGATCACCGCAGCTCCCTTCCCCCTCGGCGGCCTGCCGCCTTGGCCTGCTTGGCGATCATGCGGCGCCGGCCCTTCTTCGCAGGCCGTCGTCGTCGACCTAATCGAATTGGCATGGAAGGTCACGCACACGGGGATCGGAGGGAGAGAATTGAAGAGATATGATGGGAGCGAGCTGAGCTTACCATGGGTGAGGAGGAGGAGGAGGCGACGCCCTCGTGGTGGGAGGGGAAAGGGAAGCGTGCGGCGCTGCTGCTGCTGCTGCATGGCCATGGAGGTGGTGGTGGAGGGTGGTGGACGAAGCCGCGTGCGAGGAAGAGGCCGAGGAGGTGGTGGTGGTGGTGGTTGGGTGATGGTGGTCCAGGAGAAGGGAGGTGCCGTAACCTAGCACGCAATGGTGGGCGAGGGCGAGGGCGCTTGTCGGCGGAGGGGATGGTTGGAACGCGAAGGTTATGGTGGGGGTGGAGGACGAGGAGGCCGCCATGCCGGCGCCGCCGGTGGTGGACGACGAGGTCATATGCTGGCCACCGTGGCCCAGCGCCATCACCGCCTTCCCTGGCGACGGGAACATGGTCCTCTCTCTCTTTTCTTTCTATTTTGTCTCTCAGTCTCTCTCTGGCTTTTGCTTTGCTTTGCTTTCCCCAGTAGTAGCTAGGATCGATCGGAGCAAAGTGAGGTGTGTCCGTGTGTGATATAAACTGCTGTTGTTGTTGGGAGCTATCAGGGACAAAAAATCAAATAATTCTGTGAAAGCGGTGGTAGAGCAGCTGTGGAGAGCAAGGAGCGGGTGACATGGCCGGACCTATGCACAGTGCCGCCATCTCATCATCACTGGCTAGCTAGCTAGGGTAAGACTGGAATCCAGAGAACAGCAGTGTCATCACGGTCACGTCCGACTAAGATTCATGATATGATGATGCCATTCTTGTCTGGTTACTTTGCACAATAAAAATTGGTAACTGCAGCATACGGAGTATATACACTTGCTGCCCTGTCGTCGTCGTTGCTTAGCACATTTGAAGTTCTTGTTTGAAAATTGAAGTTCGTCCTCTATATATGGTTTTGAAATTTGAATTCTTTCCTGAGATACTATATTTGAGTCTTGGCTAAGCTGATTTGCCATAAAATATACTAGCTTCCAAAAAATCCACGAGATATGATCTAAATTCATGGTTTGGAAACTGGAAAGTAGCATTTTCCATGTAGATGCCAAATAGTAAAATTAGATAACAAAACACATGTCCTAAATTATATGACAAAATGGTGCTTTCTAAGCCATGAATTTAGATAATTTATTCATAGATTTTTTAAAGCCATTGGTGGCAAACATCTTAAAAACTAGATCCAACCAAGATAGATCGTGCTTAATTTTAGCATCTACTTGAAAAATCATACAATTTTTGGAAGTCTCTAGATATCTTGTTTTGGATTGACAAGAGAAGATCTAGAGAAGCAATGCGAACAGAGGGAACAAACTATCACAGTTTAAAACTCGTTTCTAGAAGCCGAATTCTAAATATCGTTCACCAGATGAACGCCTTTGAGAAATAGTTTACCCATGAGACCATTGTAAGAACAAATCATGTTTTATGTTTGTGAGATAAAAGGCCAATTTTCAAAAATCGGTCTACCGGGATACTACAGTATATGTGGAATGAAGGGAGTTAACCCTTCTTATATTTTCTCAACCGCTCCATTTCTAACATGGCCAATCTAGTTATGTGCGAGTAGGTATATGGAACCCTAAGCTAATAGCCGGTTACTAGTCAACTTATAATCTATTTGGATCCAGACAACTAATTGTTAGCTGCTAGCTAAAGAAAACCATATACTATTCTTTTTATTATTATCATAAGTATTAACTGACATTCGTTTGAATTCTCTAGCTAATAGTTAGCAATACCTAGGCAGTAATAACTTCTCTATACCTAAATAGTTCTTTCCAAACTATTAGTTAAAAGCAGCTAACTATTAATTCATGGGTCTAAACAGGGGCGGAGCTTGGTTAAGGCTAAGTGGGCTATGGCCACTCCTGTCAATGCAAATTTTCACTAGCTAAACAGTAAATTAGTACTGTTTATTTGACCTAAAAAAGTACTGTTTATTGTCGTTTGATTCACAACTTTATGAACTAGCCCCCTTATTTCTATGGTCAAGCTCCGGATCTAAACGTTGCCTTAGATTAGACACTTGACTGAACAATTTTATTAGGAGTATTTCAGTACGACTTCCTCCATGATTGGCTTGGACGACGTACGAGCTGAAAGCTAGAAACACCAGTATCCCAGGTAGATCGACAGGTCAAATCTGTTTCCGCGTAGGTGGGCCATATATAGTGGATGTCGATGGCAACAACCTTTGAAACCAAAGGCCAGCACCAGCAGCGGTCGATTGCATTGCGTGCAATTGCATGTCGTCTGTAGTGTTCTCTCCGCGATATGATCCCGGCCGATCCGATCGAATTATTCTTCTCTCCATCGTCTCGTCTCCCGTGCAGAAAGCTCACTAGCGGCTACCCCATGCATGCTCCGTCGTAGTAGCAGTAGTTTTTCACAATTGATGGCAGAGGCTGATCCGCTGTGCAAAGGGCTTCCCTTTTGTAAAGCAAAAACTTATTCTGAGTCTTTTGGACACATCTGATCGACATTCTTTTGAACCATGGCAGATATCATATGATGACCTTTTTTCTCATTTTTTGCGAGAATATGATGGTTTTCCTTTGTTAGTACGACGATGTATACATAGAGTGTGAGAGAGAGGTGACTAGAATCTGGAATAATATGCTCCATTCGTCCTAAAAAAAATACAATTTTAGCACTTATGTATTGCCCCAAAAAAATATTCATCTCATATTTTGAGTGGTCAAATAGTCTCAAAAGTTTAACCAAATATATACACAATCACTACAGTTATAATATCAAATAAGTCTCATTAGATTAATTATGCCATATATTTTTTATAGTAAACCTATTTAGAGATATACATGTCTATAGTATTTTCTATAAATCTAGTTAAAATTAAAAGTACTTGACTTCTCAGAATACGAGATAAGTACTTATTTTAGGACAGAGGGAATATGGAACGTGCTATCTTAAAAAGGAGCGCTATATAGATATTCTATGCAATAAAGTATAGAGTTTATAGGTGCAATCATTTGCTTTTGTCTAATCAAGACAGGTGGAGCATAAAAAGTATAGAGATATGTGTCTTTTTTGTTGTTGGCTAACTTCTCGATATGTAAAAATTGTATTCTTTCCTGGACAGAGGGAATAGATAGATAGATAGATAGATAGATAGATAGATAGCGATGTCTATTAGCAAATAGGCAAATGAAGATTGGGATCAAATCGAATCAGCAGGTCCGATCAACAAATTAATAATGTACAAATCAAGATTTTTCGAAGTGCGAAAAGATTGGGAGTTGAGATAAGGAGTTGTTGGAGAGAGTTTTTTTTCAATCTTACCAAAAAATCAAGATTGTGAGTGGATTTTGAAAACTCTTGGAGATGCTATAATAGTCAAATTATACGATAGTTGTCTTTTATTTCTCTATAAAGTTTTTTTTATTATGTGATACTACTTTTTACTCATGTCTCACATTCTCTTAGTCATCCTCACATCCAATTGCTATCTAGGCCCACCTATGCATAGACTTCCATGTCCATATTGTTGCTTGCATGAGAGTCAGCCCTTGTCACCCTCCTCCCTTTTGTCTTCTCCGTATCAGCAAAAATACCGACTAGTTTGTCTAAAGCCATTATTGTACGTTTCCTAAAAAAAACCATTATTGTACTTGCTGACTGGATTATTGTCTAAAATACTGACTAGTTTGTCGCTAAAACCTTTATATCTACTAAGCATAGTATCATAGTATATACTCCTATAGTCCTATAGATTGAGTGTGTATACATGTACATGTACCATATCCTCGCAGTTATATCTTAGTAGCTAGAGCGTGTAGATGAGTGCTCAATAATCGGCAAAGAATATACGGGGAGAGAGATAAGAGACGAGAGAGCCCTGCGGCGCGCGCGCATGCATGCATGCACGGATCGGAGAGGATAACCAGCAGGCAAGGCGTGCATGTGCATTGTCACCGGCGGCAGGCAGGCGTGCATGTGCGCCTCCGAGAAGAGCAAATGAATGGATCGATGCGCACATCGACCGGACCGATGGTGGCGCATGCAGTCTGATTCTGCTGCTGGCACTCACTCATCTCCGATGATTCGTCTCACACGAGCGACGGATCGGACAGAGCAAGTGCCTGCCTGCCTGCTGCCTTTCTCGCAGTGCTCGCAAGATGGCGCCATGATGGCCGGTGGGCTCCTCCTCCTCGTCGTCTTCCAGCACTGCTAGCTAGCTGCAGGCCATCATCAGCATCGATCGTCCCTCCATGCTCCATGCATAGACTGTGTTACTATATGTACAAAGAAATGGATGAACAGTACTACGTGCGAGCATGCCCTGTCGACTGTGTCGTCATTCATCATTTCTCAAAGAGAGGGCTAAAAAACAGCGTATACAGGCTCCAGGGACGGATCTACAGGCATACCCTGTAAAGTTGGAAGAAACGTGGCTGCCTATCTTGACTCACCACGGTTACATGTTATGTATATATAAGAGTACAGGAGCGCAGGAGATTGCCTTGCGCTATAATCCAAGATTGGAGATCTAACCGGAGTACAACTTAATTAAGGTAACTCTAAACATGGAAGCGCATGTCCTAGAATATCTCCAATCATAGATAACGACACTATGGAATATAACTCTAATTCTAACATCCTCCCTCAATCCAAGCTTCTCTTGCGACGAAGATTGAGATTGCTCTTAAACAGCTCATACTTGCCAACAGAGAGTGCCTTGGTGAAGCCATCAGCTAACTGATCTTTGGTAGATATAAACCGAACCTGTAGCTATTTCTTAAACACTCTTTCTCGGACAAAATGAAAATCTATCTCAATATGTTTTGTCCTTGCATGGAACACCGGATTGGCAGATAAATATGTTGCACCTAAGTTATCACACCATAGAATTGGCGCCTGAGATAACTTGACACCAAGTTCTCCCAAAAGTGACTCGAGCCAGATCAATTCGGCGGTTGCATTAGCCAATGATTTATACTCTGCCTCTGTACTGGACCTTGAGACAGTAGCTTGTTTCCTTGCACTCCAAGATATAAGATTTGGTCCTATGAATATAGCAAATCCTCCAGTTGACCTCCTATCATCAACACTACCAGCCCAATCCGCATCGGAAAAAGCACTCAAACGTAAAGAACTTGACCGTGCAATAAACAAGCTTGTGTCTGAGGTGTATTGAACATACCGAAGTATTCGCTTAACAGCTGTAAAATGAGTACTTGTTGGACTATGTAAAAACTGGCACACCTTATTTACTGAGAAAGCCAAATCTGGTCGAGTAATAGTAAGATATTGGAGCGCACCAACAATGCTCCTGTATCTTGTACTGTCTTCTGCACTGAGGGGCGTCCCATCCTGACTTGATAAACGTTCAGTCACAGCAAGAGGAGTAGGCACGCCTTTACACTTCTTCATGCCTACCCGTGTTAGG